TGAGCACTACTATTTGTACAGAGATCTAAAAGACTTGATAAGGGCAGGGTAATAAGTGGAAAAGTTTGTCGTTAACATTCCACAAATCAAAAGAAGATAATTCATAAGACTCTCCCATCTAACCTTTGCGTGAGGTTGAAATGATGCCTTTTATATTTTGTCAGGAGACTGGAGGTTCAATAGTTCAGAGACTCCATGGCCAGGTCAAGCCAATGCCGTTGTGTCACCTTTACATCATATTTCCGATATTCTAATATTTCCCCTTTAACTATGTTGCATTGAAAGTTGTTGGGTTTTGTTTTGTCTTATGATTTAAAAATTGGGCATGTTCCTGTATCACTATATCAATGAGAATGGCTTCTCTATATCCCATTTAATAATTTGATGCACTATAGTTTTCTTGTTTGTTTGTTTGTTAAACCCATTCTAATTCCAGATGGTGGAAGAGATTCCCAAATGCTAGGAGATATAATATAGAGCAGCGGTTCTCAACCTGTGGGTCGTGACCCCTTTGGGGGTCGAACAACCGTTTCACAGGGGTCACCTAAGACCATCAGAAAACACATATATAATTACATATTGTTTTTGTGATTAATCACTATGCTTTAATTATGTTCAATTTGTAACAATAAAATTGGGGATCACCACAATATGAGGAACTGTATTAAAGGGTCGCAGCATTAGGAAGGTTGAGAAACACTGATATAGAGGCTTTAGGTTATAGGGGTGGGGAACCTTTTCTCTGCCATGGGTCATTTGGATATTTATAACATCATTCAAGGGCTACACAAAATTATCAACTTCACAGTCAGCCTGCTATATTTGGTCAAACATTTCATTAACCCACCCCTAATGCCATGGCAGGGCCAGGACAAACGATTTCGAGGGCCTTATACAGCCCGAGGGCTGGATGTTCCCTGCCCCTACATAGGAGACATGGCTATTTAGGACAGATGAGCGCATAGAATGAGAACAGAGTAGAAATATTATGTTACCTGGTTAATTGATTGACTTGGGCAGATCAATGAGATGCAGCCTACAGTAATGTGGTGGTACAGGACACACTTCCACTGTGCAATACCCAGGGTGAGCAGTTCGGTCTGAATGGTCTAACATATGTTAACATTGTTTTCCTCCTCAGCACTGTATGGCTGGGACTGTAATGCTTTAGACTGTTGGCTAATGTTCCTAGTTCGAGGGAACAATCACCAAACTCCCAGATTATGGCGTCTGTTCATTTGATATGATTTTTTTCTCTTTGTAAATATTCCATGGAAGTATCAGTTGACACACTGGCCTGTTATTTGATGAAGGTGACTTCCTTCAAAACTTTGCAATATAAGACCTGCAAATCTGGAGTAATTTGCAACCGAACAAAAACAACTGAATCCTAAGTCATTTTTAGTGTGAATGCAAAACTTATTGTTTCCATGGATATTTATAAAAACATTTAAAAATGTAAACTAAAATAATGAATTTAATTTTATTTTCCTGAGATTTGACTTATTAGGCACCAAATCTAGTTTTATCTTTATGAGCATCTTAAAATAATATTTGTGTGCTTACAATGTTCTAGGTGCTGTACAAAAATATTTTTTTAAAAATGCCTCCCCCCCCCAAAAAAAAAAACACACAAAACACCCAACATAGATTCAAAATGAAAACAGACAATAAACAAAAGTAATTCTCTACTTGGTATTTTTCTTTCTGTCCCAAGAGTTTTTTTTTGATTAAAAAAAGTCAAGCAAATAAAGAAATGGCAACAACAAAAAACACATCCTTCCCTGAAAGAAGCTCATATAAGTTTAGGAATAGATGCTTTGAGACATGATTCACAATGTTCTGTGACCCATGCAAAGGATGAAAAACCAAAAAAAAAAATTCATTTTTTTCTCTTAATAAACATGCTCCCATAGCAGAGCTATAATTTTAGGATAAAAATGTGGAAGAATGGGTTGAGGCATAAGCTGTCATCATACACTAACCACAGCGATGAATAAAGAAGCAGGGAAACTCTTTATTGCGAATAGCTTGAACAACTATTCACAAATGCTTTGGCAGTGGTCCTCTGGACTGTTCGTGTCTGAAGCCCCCCATGAGGGCACTAGCTCCTATTTCTGCATTTATGGCTTCAGGTCAGAGGGTAATGCTGCGCTCCTTTTAAAAGTACCTGCAAAAGGCTCAATCAATTCATCTGTCCTTGATGAAATGCTCCTGATAGCCGATTAAAATACGTTCCAGCCTCCTGTAACATAATATTTCCGAGGGTCTAGCCTTCCTAGATTTCTAGATTCCCACAGTTTCACCAGAAAATATTAAGTTTTGACCATCAAATACACTTTCACTATTAAAGTATAGACTGTGGTCTTGTGGGCTAATAGTACTGTGATGAGAGTCAGGTGCCCTTCACCTTTCACCGAGCTGGGGGCTGTTGGAGGACCCCCAAGTGTGTACTTGATATTAACTAGATTTTTGAATGGTGAGCTTCTCTTAGTTTACAAATCTGGATGACTCACTAAGCTGCCATATTCTTAAAGCATTAAGAATAGTATTTAAACTCAGATTAAAGCAACAGGGAAGAATGGTTATGTAAGCCACTGAAAGCTTACAGGAAGCAGAATAAAGTAATCCAAAGGTCTTTTTAAATTCTAAAGAACAGTCCTGGGAAAAATGTGTGCAAGTCAGTCTGTGAAGGACCTGGACCAGCCGTGGGCAAACTACGGCCCGCGGGTCGGATTCGGCCCGTTTGAAATGAATAAAACTAAAAAAAAAAAAAAAAAAAAGCTTCTCTGAGGTTTTGCATGCTTAAAAAAAAAAAAAAAAAAAAAAAAAAAAAAAAAAAAAAAAAAAAGACTGTAGCCTTTTATGTAATGATGTTTACTTTGAATTTATATTAGTTCACACAAACAGTCCATCCATGCTTTTGTTCCGGCCCTCCGGTCCAGTTTAAGAACCCATTGTGGCCCTCGAGTCAAAAAGTTTGCCCACCCCTAACCTGGACATATAGGTTGGGGTTTATTCATTTATTTTCAGACTTTGGGTACCAGGAGCACAGTGTTTGGCTACTTCTATGCCCATTGAATACCAGACACTGAATGAAGACACCAAGGACACAGATGAAATGACATGGCATGTGTCTTGATGAACCTGTAGTGTAGAGATGGACTTGAAGACCAAGAGAGGATAAGGAGTTTTTATACTAAGCTCAAGGAGAACACAAACCAATGAGCATTCACATCTAGGGAAGGCTTCGCTCTGTAGTAGACTGATCTTGATACATGAAAGGTGTGTAGAAGGATCAACGTATGCAAAGCATGGAGGGAAGAGAAATATGGAGGTGTCATGGTACCTATTAAGTTTGGAATTGCCAAAGCAAAAACTAGGAGAGTGTTGTTGAACAGTTTATAAAGCCTAGCACACAAAGGATCATAAACTATATTGAGAAATGCATGCTTCATTCCGTAATATTTAGGAGGCCAAAGAGAACCAAGACATTAGGAGTGCATGGGCAGATTTATTTTTAGAAAGATTACTCTGGTGCCAAGAGAGAAAACACTGTGTGTGTGTGTGTGTGTGTGTGTAGGGCAGGGATCAGGGTGACACTAAATGCCGAAAGACCAATTAAATGATGAACATACATTTTCATTCTGCCAATCAATCCTGCATTCAAATATTTGTTCAGTGTCTCCTGTATAGGAGGATTTCCACAAATGTTTTAAAAATTAATTAATATTTCATGTAGATAAAATAAGGACGATACTCATTTTTTTCTATACCCATTTTGGATATGAAGAAACTGAGCCTCAAAGAGGCTGACACCACACAAAGACTTAATCTCACAGAAATTAAATCACCTGCCCAGGGTCACACACAGACATCTTCAGTGGTTTTTGGGTTTCAATCCTGGTATCAAAGCCTTTAAAAAATATGTTTTTATTGATTTTTATTTTAGAGAGAGAAGAAGGGAGAGGGAGACAGAGAAACATAGATTGGCTGCCTCCTGCTCATCCCCTACTAAAAATTGAGCCTGCAACCTGGGCATGTGCTCTGACAAGGAATTGAAGGAGTGAACTTTTGGTGCATGGGAGGCTCAACCAACTGAGCCATACCAGCCAGGGCTTAAACCAAAGCCTTTTATTCCACACCTGTGATATTTGCTGAAATGAGAGGCAATAAGCTTTACTGAAAAGTGGGATTAGACTAATAATCAAGATGTCTAGATTTTTAAAATATATTTTTATTTATTAAATATATTTTTATTAAAGGAAGGAAGAGGGAGAGATAGAAACATCAATGATAGAATCATTGATCTGCTGCCTCCTGCACACCCCTACTGGGGTTGGAGGCTGCAACTTGGGCATGTGCCCTTGACCAGAATCAAACCTGGAACCCTTCAGTCTCCAGGCTGACACTTTACCCACTGAGCCAAACCAGCTAGGGTCTGACTGCAGATTTTTAGATGAACTCTTCCATGCAACAACATACCTCAGGAGAAACTTCTGTGATTCCAAATTGGGATAAACTTTGATGCAAAACATTGGTATTAAGTGAACGCAGCACTTCCTCAGATGGCAGGGCGTCAGAGATGCCTCCTTTTCGGTTTATGGGAGACACGAAGAGTTCCACACTGTTCTTCTTGCCCTAGTAAAAGAAGGTTATTTGTATATGTTAATAGACATTTTCAAACATCTTTGGGAAGTACTTTTACCTCCTCTAGAAACACCACAGAAAGCTGGAACCCTAGAATCTTAAAAGGCATCATGGAGGTTACATTTATTAGTTATTCTCGGGTACACTTAAGGCTACCAGTCCAGAGCCCAAAGTCTTGAAGTGGCCTTCTTTCAAGTAATTGACACCTCAAGATTTGTAATTTTATATCTCATTGGATGCTGGTTTATTTTCCATTCCATATTGTAATTAAATATTTTCCTCCACCACTATTTATGCCCCCTAAGTCCTCCTCCACCTCCCCCTCCCCCTCCACCTCCACCTCCACCCACTTTCCTCTCCCCTCCACACTCACCACCCCCTTGTCCATGAGTTCTTTCTTTCTGTTTTTCCTTTGTTGCTCAATCCCTCCATGCCCCTGCCTCCCCATGCCCATCCCCAGAGCTGTCAGACTGCTCTCTATTTATGAGTCTCTCTATTTTCTTTGTTTTGAAATATACTGTTCAGATGTTCCCTGAGTAATTGTGTTTAAAGAAGCATTATAAAATCAAATGAATGAAATAAAGCCTAATGCAATAGTACAGTTATTAGACATTGCTACTCCATTTTTTTCTTATAACTTGTATTTCTGGAAGGCTGGAATCACTAAGGAAGGTGATGTTACATGAACTTTGATTTTGCTTCCCTGATTCTGTTCTTCACCTCAAACGTACCACTTTTAAAGTCTATCCCTTGGGTAGAAATGCAGGATACTTTCCTATTAGTATTGCCCCATTAGCTGAAATGCAGAGAGAGGATTTTTTTTCTATCATAAATGGAAGATAGGACACATAAAAAGTAAACACACCACGGAAATCTATCAGAGTCTCTTTAAAAGTTACATCTATCACGTACTTATGGAAGGAATTATTGCTAGTCTTTTCTTTTTGACATGGAGTTCTCTCATGTTAGAAAATTTTCCTTTAATGCCATTTACCAGAAGTTCATCCAGGTATAAAATACTACTAGCAATCCAGAAAACAAAACACATTTCCGTGTTTGCAGGGAACAACAGACAATGACTAAGTATAGTATAATACTGATGTCCAACGTGTTTATAATAATTTAAATAGTTTATGACCTAATAACAACAGTAGCGAGACTAGAGCACTTGTTTTCTGCCTGACACACTCTTATGTACCTTAAATCTGTTATCTCATTTAATGCTCAAAACCCCTCCAGGACAAAGGTGTTATAGTTCTCTCCATTTTGCAATTGAAGACACATAAGTAGGTTGCCTGCGGTCATACAACTGGGAGATGGCTGAGCTGGAAACGGGGTACGGTTATGTCTCCAAAGTAGATGCTCTTCATAACCATGCTCTGCTGCCTTGGGTATCACCATAACTCTACCCATTATAATAACTGCTCCTAGAAACAGGTGTGATAAATGCCACCAACATTCTCCCGGGATATGTGTGTTCCTGCCTTTTTACCCCTGCAAAGAGCTATATATCTATCTATCTATCTATCTATCTATCTATCTATCTATCTATCTATCTATATATATATATATATATTCTAGAGCTAAGACATCTATAGTACCTACATCTCTATGTCTTCTCATTAAAATAAGATACTTTGGATATAAAACTCATTTCCCTCTTTCAGGGCACTAGGAAATATTGTATTTCCTCTTCTATGGTACTGAGCTAAAAATTTTGGTGTTTAAGTGTATTTGATTCCAGGAAATAGTTGACTTAGAGAATAAGTCATTATGGGGAATGAAACAACCCTCACCCCTCCACACACACACATAACAATGAAAAGAAACAAAATCCCTAAACCGAAGTAAAAAGCAAATTCATCTCCGTAGCTGGACACATGGATGTTGATTCAGTAGAAAGCTGAGCTCCAGCAGGAGAATCAGAATGTAAGGCAAGGGGACCGTGGGGCCCTGGCTTGAGTTCCCACTGCAGTGGAAATTAAGAACAATTGTAAAACTGCAAGATGATTCCAAAGTCCCTTTTCACAGGAACCTTGGTTAATTAGCTTTTTATAAAGAGAAAGTCATCCGTTTTGAATTTGCCTTTCTCTGCCTTTGCTCATGCCTGCCTTCAGGTGCTGATGGGAACAAGTGGTGGGATGACATCAAGGTTCCCAAACCGTGAGATAAGCGGGGAAGGAAGGATATGGGTGATTGGCTGGTAGATGGGTCTAAAGTGGGCTCTATTCATCAATCCCTCTGGGTTTGCCTCATTCCCACACCACATGCCCATCCAAGTTTTCTCCAGGCTTTTCAGGACCACCTATTCTTGCATTCCATTTGGAGTGCTGTCCTCAAGGATTGGTTTTCCTTTCTTTTTAACCAAAATCCTGTCTGTGCACTCAGTATCTTCATCCTATTGCTATCCTTGAAGGGGTTTTCATAGATACCACATGGAGACAATGTTTTAACTGATGCAGAAGGCTTAACTTTTAGAAAAACCATCAACAGAACAACGAGAAAACCCACTGCATGGGAAAACATATTTGCCAATGTCATATCTGATAAGGGCCTAATCTCCAACATTTATAGGGAACTCATACAACTTAATAAAAGGAAGATAAACAACCCAATCAAAAAATGGGCAAAGGACCTAAATAGACACCTTTCAAAAGAGGACAT